CAAACTAAAACTGTTCTAAAAAATAAAGTATTAATTTTTAAAACCAAAACAACGTGACCAGACAGATTTGAAAAAGAACAAATTAAAACTTTTGGAAATAAAAATATAAACACTGAAATAGGCAGATTAGACCCAGGTACTGAATGACAGAGCTGAAGAAATCACTCAACTGCAACACAAATAAAAGGAGATGAATGGAAATAACATAAGGATTCTTCAGTAGAGGATTGAGTGAATAAATTAAGCTACACATATGTGTACATGTGTAACATGCTTGGTCACCTATATACATATAAACATACACTTTGGAATACAAAGAAACCCTAAAAATGGCTATAGCATATTGTGAAGTTTTTATATTTATTTATTTAAAATGTTTATTTTGAGAGCCAGAGAGCACATGTAAGTGCATGAGTGGGGGAAGGAGAGGGGCAGAGAAATTGGGAGAGTGAGAATTTCAAGCAGGATCTGTGCTCTCAGAGCCTGATGCAGGGCTCAATCCCACAAACTATGAGCTCATGACCTCAGCCGAAATTGAATTGGATTCTTAACCAACTGAGTCACTCAGGGTCCCCCAGACATTGTTAAGTTTTTTTTTTTTATGTTTATTTATTTTTGAGAGAGAGACAGAGTGTGAGTGGGGGAGGGGCAGAGAGAGAGAGGGAGACACAGAATCTGAAGCAGGCTCCAGGCTCTGAGCTGTCAGCACAGAGCTCGATGTGGGGCTCGAACTCACGAACCATGAAGTCATGACCTGAGCTGAAGTTGGCCCTTAACCAGTTGAGCCACCAAGGCGACCCCATTGTTAAATTTTTAAACCAAGTTGTAAAGCTCATGTAGAGTTTATCTTGTTTTATAAAAGTGTGTGTGTATGTGTGTGTGTGTGCATGTGTGCACACATTGGGCCTAGACATGTCTAGGAGAAGAATGGTCATGAATTTGTGAACTTTGGTTATCTGTGGATGGTAAAATTTGAGGTGATCTTTTTTTATATTCTCTGTGGGGTTTTTTTTGTATAGTTGGAATTATTCAGAAGAATATATCCCACATTTACAAAAGCAATAAAATTACTTTTTACTAAAATATTTTTTCAAAAGGGGGTATGGAAAACGTGAGTAATTAAAGGACATTGAGGATGGACTTCAAAGGTGTAACACTTGGGAGTTCCAGAAGGAGAGAATAAACAGAATGGTATTAAAGGAAATGATGATAATGATTAAGAATATTCCAGAAATTATGAGACAAAATTTCACAGATATTAGGACACAATGCCTAAATATCAAGATAAGTAAATTGATAATTAGACATACTGTGATGAAACTTATGAACTCCAAGACAAAGACAAGATCTGAAAGCAACCAGACAGAAAAGGCAAATCCTGAGTTGGAAGTTATAATCAAAGACTTAGAGCAGACTTCTTATAAACTGCATTGTAAGATAGAAAATACTGGAATGATAAATAACCTCAAAATATTGTGAGAAAATATTTGGCCTGAAATGGGCAAGGGTCGTTGAATGTAACTCTCTGCTCGTCAGCCATCATGTATGAAACAGGACATACTCATGGCATAAATACGGATTCTAGATTTTACACACATCTCTAATAGGTTACAACTTATTGTTACTTCTGGTTCTTGCATGTGCATTTTCACAATGTAATACTATTGAAAAGTTTGAGTGCTTATAAGTTTGTATAAAAGAGGATGGCTGTCTTTTTTGTTCCATAATTACAAAATGTTTCTATCTTTAGGATTTTTTAAGTTTATTTATTTTGAGAGAGAGCGCATGGGGTAAGGGCAGAGAGAAAGGGAGAGTCTCAAGCATGCTTTGTGCTGACTGTGCAGAGCTCAACACAGATCTCAATCCCACGAACTGCGAGATCATAACTAGAGCCAAAATCAAGAGAGTCAGACGCTCAATCGATTGAGCCACCCAGGCGCCCCTGTTTTTAATTTCTAATTTAAATATAAACTAGATTGATCAATCTAATGAAATTTTTTATTTCTACACAATATCTGTCCTTCTAGTCACCTTTGTATATACACCTACCTTCAGTATTTGTCCATTTATGAATCATATCAAGTAAAATTTTACCCACAGATATCATAAGAGATAAAAGAATTATCACATGGATTCTTTTAGCAAGACAAGATGCTCCAGGTTCTTGTTGAAAAAATATTAAATAATTAACTCTGTCCTATTAAATGACTAACTGAGTTAGAATATTATGTTTTCTTGGTGTATTCATATGTATCTTGTTTGCTCTTTGATTCTTGAGTTTGAGAAAATCTACTTGCTTATCCTAAAGGCTCATTGTCCAAAATTTTGCTTCATCACCTTCACCCTCATCAGTAGAGTCTCCAATGTTTCTCTCTCTTTGCCTTCATCATCATCTTTTATTTTTTAATATTTTATTTATTTCTGAGACAGAGAGAGCGCGTGAACAGGGGAGGGTGATAGAGAAGAAGACACAGAATCTGAAACAGGCTCCAAGTTCTGAGCTGGCAATCAGCAGAGAGCCCGACGCAGGGCTCAAACTCATAAACTGTGAGATCATGACCTGAGCCGAAGTTGGACGCTTAACCGACTGAACCACCCAGGCACCCCTTTGCCTTCATCTTCTGACTCATTTACAGTTGTGAAATATCTTTCTCTGTAATCTTCTCTTACTCGTCATGGACTGAAATGAAAAATCCTGAGTTCCTAACTGCATGCAACGAAAGCTAAAAAGAATATGACAAGGATGGTGTCTCCAGACTGCTTTTATGTGGTTCCAAAAGACTATGCGTTAGTTTGTATGGCACAAGAAGAAAACTGACGGATGAGGAAATAGTTGTATTTATTTATTCATTCTAGGCAGTTCCATAATTTTTTGTTTTGTCCTTTTTTAGCATGGTTGGAAATAATTGATAAGTGATGATGAAGTAATTCCTAGGATGATAAAATAGCAAAAGATCACTAAGGTCCTCTAATGTATCTTAAATTTATAAGACGATCCATGCACTGAACTGAAAACAGTAAGAGAATGAATGAGTTTTATCCTGTTAAAAAATAAGTAATTCTTATCTTTGATCTTTGAAAGACCTCTAAGAATCAATAAAAGTCATGAAGTCTCAATTCTCACATATAATTAGAACTGTTCAGTTTCATTAAACTTAGAAACCTAAAATTGGATTTAAAAGGTTAGGAAGTTTCCGTCAAATCGTGAATAAAGAGAATAAGGATTATTGGCAAGACCCCACTTCCTTAAAACTGATAATACCCTAGAAGTGAAACTAACCTCTTAATTTTTATCTTTTATTACCTTGGAAGTCATATTGTGTTTCAAAGGAGTGAGCAGATATTATGAACTGTGAATTGTTAGGAAGTTTGTTAAGCGGAGTCGAAAGAACTAGACCAGGAGTCTAAAAACTATGGATCTAATTTAAGCGTGGACACTAACTCATTGTTTCTTTGGGCTGAGCCATCCCCCAAACTCTGATAACACTGGAAGGAGCAATAGATTGAGTCAGAGCCGCAATGAGAACCTGCTTCGTGAGACTCGTAACCTCCCATCCTTGCAACTTTCTCATCTTTGGTAGTGGTAATAAAAGGCTGCCATTAAGGTTGTTGTGAATATTTAATGAACTACTAGAGACTGTAAGACCCTGGAGGGCTGGAACTGCTAGTCCTCTTTGCCTGTCCTGGTCTAGAAGTATCTAAGTACTTACTGCATAAATGAATGCATTACATTTAGGAATTGTTTATAAATTGTTGTAAATTATAAAGCAAGTTTATAAATTGTACACTTAAAATGTTATGCAATTACAAGATCATTGTGTTTGTGCTTGTTATGCAGATTTAAGGTCTTTTTTTTCCCCTTTGTCTTAAAAAGGGGAAACACAGGCTTCATTGTTTTATCAAATCACAGCAAAATATAGCTTTGGAATAATCTAGAGCTTAGCATTTAAAATTGTAGATCTATCTTCATTTAGCCTCATCTGTGACTTATTAAAATGGCAAACAGTAACAAGCCAGTTTATCATTGTGTTTTTTCTAAATTGCCTGATGGCTCTTGAGTTCAGAAATTTTCATTGTCATGCTGTAAATTTCATAGAGTAAAATATCTTTGTGTATTCTTTGAGCTGTCATAGTCCAAACATTTTGTTTGGGTTTCTCTCTTTATATCAATAAAATTTTTACATTTCTTTGCCTATATTTTTTCCTTTTCTTCAACTCCGTTCTTATAAATCTTTTGAGGTATTAACTTGAATACTTTTTTAAACTATTAGTCTATTTGCCATTTTAATATGATCTCCATTTCCTTTATAAGGTAACCAAGACTCTTAAGAAATTCTTGAGAGACCAATCAGAAAGACCGGCTTTTTCCCTTTGCCGAGCCGGGTAGCCTAGCCAGCAAAGGGAAAGAACTCTAACTTGAATTTACACATGTAACTTGTTTAACTCACCGATTAGTTTGCTCAAAGTCATTGCTCAGTTCAGGATCTGACTATAAATTAAGTGAATGCTTACTTATTTCAGCACCCTTCAAGTTCCCCTGTGAAGTTACTTATGCCTCTGACAGAGAAACTAGGATCTGAAGCTTGGTGACTGTCAGTTTGTTCCACGGTATTTACTCCTTTTAGATGTTGGCCAGAGTTTGGACAGTCAGTAAATATTTTCTCAGCCTCAGTGTACTGTCTGTATGTATGTGAGACTCTGTCCTTCCATCTTTGTTTGACTCTCTCAATGGTTGGCAGGTTCACTAAAGGTAAGAACTACGTTTAATCTTTGGATAACCTTGAGATAACCTTGAGATATCATAGAGGAAATTTCTGAATTTGGGGTGAGGCTGGACTGCATACTGTTAAGGGGCTCTTGTGACACTTCAGGTTCAATATTTACATGCCAGCAAACACAGAGAACAGCTCTCACTACCATGGTACTTCCATAATCCTTCACCATTGGTTGGCTTCCTATTATGTGTCTCACCAACCCCCTTCTGTTGTCTACTTCCTTAGATTTTTATTAACAACGAGTGGCAGAACTCAGAAAGCGGGAGAGTGTTCCCTGTCTATAATCCAGCCACAGGAGAACAGGTGTGTGAAGTTCAAGAAGCAGACAAGGTACGTCCTTAGAAAAAGATTCCCTGTGAAATAACTGCCTTCAGACAATAGAGCACTAAGCTTATGTTCCCCACACACCAGCACTGATGTTCATTCATCACCTTTTTCATAAAAGCAGGTGGTTCTTCCTTTATTTGGAGTGTTCTCTCTCTTCAGTTGTGCCTCTTCCTCTCTAACAGGCAGATATAGACAAAGCAGTGCAGGCAGCCCGCCTGGCTTTCTCTCTTGGTTCAGTGTGGAGAAGGATGGACGCTTCAGAAAGAGGCCGTCTGCTGGATAAGCTTGCAGACTTGGTGGAACGAGACAGGGCAGTTCTTGCAGTAAGTAGCCTAAAAAAACATTCAGTCTTAACCCTAAATTTACCACTCCACTGAAACGTAGATTCCTCAGCCTTTCTGAAACTGTGGTGTGAAGCCAACCTGGCGGACAAGCTGAGGAGAACATAATACACGTGAAAAATGAGAGCTGTTTGGCTTTTGGGATCAGATGGGTAGGTGCAGTACCAGCTGAGGGTCTCTTCTTAGTGAATTTTGAAGAACCAAAACCATAGCTTCCCATGACTGGTAAGGACCTTCCTGTCTTCCTTTCCAACTTTATTAGCCCACCCTCGACAGACAAATCAAAACAAAAACAGTTAAGCAGCAGGAGAGTCCCCATGAAGCTTGCAGAAAACCAACACCAAATGATTCATTTGAGGATCAAATAGGACTGTTTTTTTTAACCTCCCCAGAGTTAACCTCTCTTGACTAAAGAGAATCCTTCCGAAGCAGAGGGCCTCTCAGGGACTTCTGCCCCCTTTGTTCTTCTGGCACTTTCTAGAACCAGGGGAAAGGAGAGATAGCAGGAGACAGCAACTGTCTTTCACTAAATCATTTTCTCACATAAGGAGCATCCTCTCTCCTAGTGGTTTTTGTGTTTGTTTTTGCTGTTTATAAAATAAAAGTCAGTTTCTTAGAGAATGCAGACTGCCTGGGAACTGGAACCATTCAGGCTTGTCTGTGTCTCCACCTAGGCAGCCCACTGTTGATCAGTTAGCGTTTAGGGAGTCCTTGTTCAGTCAGGCATTCAGACCGTGACCACTGTATCCTACCCTCCGTGTGGGAAGGGCACAACTGGGCTTGCTCTGGTGGAGGGATGCATTGTGTCCTTCCTCTGGGTCACTGCTGCCATCGCTCTTCCCTCCTGCCATCCCCTGCCAGGATCTGTTCGTAGTATGGGAACAAAAATGAATCCTTTATGGAGCTGATTTGGAGCTCTGACCCAAAAAAACAGTTACTTTTCTATAAAAACATGTTCTAATCTGGTACTTGAAGGAAGACTGTTCCGGTGAGGTGTTTATGCGTTTTGTGAGAAAGGTGTTCGTTCGTGAAGTAGATCCTTCTCAGATGTTGACAAGACACTGAGCATATTAGAGACTCTAAAAAGCTCTACTCACTAGTTTAAGTAACTAAGTTGAGTTTACTTGAACCTCAACACTATTTTTCTGGCTAATCTGTCAATATCGTGCAAAACTGAATTCTTTGGAACACTTGGGGGAAAATGCTGGTCTGTAGGTTTAGGTTTTCACTGGATTATGATTCTTCGAGAGTGAGAGCTGTATTTTACTTCTTTTGTAATCCCAGCGATTCCTGGGACATAAACGGTCGGGTAGAGAGGGCAGATTGATTGTAAGTATCTGTTTAATTGAGTGAAATCTATACAGTATTTACAACATTAACCCTAGACTAATGGTACATACTATATATAGTTCATTTCTGCAGTTATATTTTCATGTCATGAAATTCACATGCCATCCTTTTTTTTGGACATATGTCTCACCATGATCAATTCCCCTTTGCCATTACACCTGAATGAGATTTCTGTTTTTAAACACTCTCGGGCCATGGGAGGAGTGAGTTTTAATAAGAGACAGTCTCTGGAATAGATGGGAGCTTCTGACCAGAAAATGAAGTTAATACCTCATCCAAGTAAACATAATTAATTGAAAATGAACATAGGGCTGGCAACTCTCAGGTGAATTTGGCTGGTGTCAACAGTTCATTGGGACCATGTGGTGGCCCAAATTCTGATTACTGACTACTTCCCTCTATGCTGTGTGAAGCTTAGCTCTGTTCTGGCTGCATGGAGAACATAATGACCCATCTCCTGAACATACACATGTTCTCAAAAGTACTGGGAAGTAATTGGACTCCCTTTGGTAAAGGCAAGCCAATCAATATACAGTAATAAGTAATGGGATTTTTTAAAATGAGTCCCATCTTCAATGGAGGAGGGCACTTGTGGGGGTGAGCACTGGGTGTTATATGGAAACCAACTTGACAATAAACTATTTGTAAAAAAAAAATAAAAAAAAATAAAATGAGTCCCATCTTATATGCATGTGAACCCCATCTTATCCTTACCCACGTGAGTCCCTTCTTATCTTTACCCACATGAGTGGGTAAGTTGCCCTGTAAGTGACTGTATTTTTATGTCATCAAATGGAGAATATTTCCATCTTAATTTTGTCAGCGCTCACATCATTTTCACACCGGTATGAGTGAGTGATAAAATATCCTCACAGAGAAGGACATGAGATTATAAACATATGTTTTCCTTTTTTTAAAAAAAAATGTTTTATTTATTTTTGAGAGAGAGATAGCATGAGCAGGGGAGGGTCAGAGAGAGAGGGAGACACAGAATCTGAAACAGGGTCCAGGCTCTGAGCTGGCTGTCAGCACAGAGCCTGATGCAGGGCTCGAACCCATGAACCGTGGGATCATGACCTGAGCCAAAGTCTGACGCTTAACTGACTGAGCCACCCAGGTGCCCCATGTTTTTCCTAATTTTTTAATTCATTAAACTTGTAACATCTTCAATATTTCGCAAGTCCAAATCCTGTTTTCTCATTTCAATGTGTCCATGTGGCTTTTTGTTGTTGTTGCTACACATTCAAGCAGTTTAAGAACACGTGGTTCAAATAGTAACATTTCTAATCTACGACTGCTCAATATGTCTATTTTTATTCAATGGAACAGATACTTCACTTTTAATAGGTAATGGTTGTTAACATAAATATTTACCAAAAAGCAGCCCTAAACTTGTTAAAGTGTGAGCTTCCCTAGAGGAGCTCTTGTTTATTTGATGGTAATAAATAAAGTCGCTGTGCACTGTGGATATCCCATTTCTTAGCAGGGGTCTTGGCAGTAGTGGAAAACGCTTTATATTCTCATCAGTTGCATAAAGGCCCATGACCCTGTTCCTCTTTATGGATTCAGATTACTGGTCTCGACTCCAAAACATCCTCACGCAGCTCTGATCATTAATGTAACAGAAGCTGGTTTGACAGGCAGAACGTTTCTTCATCGTCAGTTGAAGAAACGTGTGTTTATACGTTCGGATAGTGGTTACTGGAGACTCACGGGCCCAAGAACATGTGCTTACATATTCACTGTGGTTTTTACTAGAGACTAACCTAAACCGGCAGTACTAAAAAGTCTTTTTATTTGGGAAATAAGAACTGACCACATATGCGTCACTATTCATCTTCATTCATATTCTCGCTCTTCCTTTCTCTTCTGCTCCAGAGATTGTTGCATTTGTCACTCGAAAGTTCTTTCTATTTCTTTTCCTACAGACCATGGAATCGTTAAATGGTGGCAAACCGTTCCTGCAAGCTTTTTACGTGGATTTGCAGGGGGTCATCAAAACGCTTCGGTACTACGCAGGCTGGGCTGATAAAATTCACGGGATGACCATTCCTGTAGGTAAGTGAAATCTGAGTTACATGGAAGGTGAAAGCTGGCAACCCCCCAGAAACACATTCACTATCAAACACACTCCTTGTAGAATGCAGATAGGAGCACACTCCACATCGCTGCTGGAACCGAAAAACCAAACATATTACATTACTAACTCTGACCGTGTCCCTATTTCTGTGTGTAGGCGTGTACATATAAGTGCAGGGACAGGCCACTTACATCAGTACGGCAGCTGGCTAAGGCACAGGTATGGGCTTGTCAGCTGCTAAGTGCTCAACACTATGCTACGTTAGGGGCTGGGGGTGTGGAGAGATGTCACACGTGGGAAAGTCAGGGACATTTTCAAGAACATTGAGACTTGGTCCTTTCCTTCCTGAAACACCGAGATCTACTTGTTTGGAAATGAACACTCTAAAATGTTAACGTTGTCTCTTCTTAGTGGAGAGATTGTGGATAAGTTATTTCTCTTTTTTATATTTTTCTGTGTTTTCCATAATGAGCAAGAATTACTTTTACAATCTGTAAACACAACAGCCATCCTTTCTTTTTAAGATCTAGGTTAGGAGATAAAACCAGCAGCAAGAGAGATATCTATAGGAGAGTTACAGTTAGGTGCCGAGTGGTGTGGCTTGGCCTGTCAGTACTGTAGTCCATTAAAGGAGAGGGTGATTGTCCAAGCTAAGCCAGTGGTCAGGTCCCGATCTGCACATGAGGTGACAGCGATAGGAATGCCAGATTGAGTGCTTTCGCAGCAACCCCAAGGGGAAGGCACTATTGTTGGCATCCTCACTGACAGGAAGAAACTGAGGGTTAGTGAAGTTAAGTAGTTTCCTAATTCACCAGCAAGTAAGTTGTAGAGCCAAAATTCTAACATTAGAGCCTGGTGACTCACTTCACTAGCTGCTCCATTTTCAGTACTGGGAGGAAGAGGTAGGATGGGAAAGGGAACAACTGAGGGAGATGTGAGGGTGTTGGTAGTGGTGAACAGACATGAGGAAAGGAAATATGTCTTCACCAGTGGCTCCTGTTGGCTTCTAATGCCATGTCCAGGCCTCTACCTAGGTTCTTTGGAAGATAGCCTGCTTTCCGTGTGCATCCTAGAGAGTTGAAAGTAGGGCTGCGCACTTTGGAGCACTCCCTGGGGCCCATCCTAGGCCAAGTGTTGGTTTACCAGAAAAGGGGGTGGCCGACTGATAGCACGGAGGGCTTGGAGTGGTGCTTCTCAAACTTTGATGCACATACATACACTTGGGGTCTTCGTCAAGTGTGGTTTCTGATGGAATAGATCTGAGGTGGGGCCTGAGATTCTGCATTTCTACCCAGCTGCCAGGTGATGCCTGTGCAGCTGGTTCTCTGCCTCGAGCAGCAAGGAGAGGGTACAGAGACCCGATGCTTCATTTAGGCATGAGGCAAGAAGAGGAGTCACAGTGCCAGTGGAGAAGGGACTTCAAAGGTCTGTTTTAAAATTACCTCCATGAATTACAGCAACATGTGGAATGTTAGCCTTTAGAAAATGGGTTGGCAGTTACAGGCACTCTTCCTTGCCATCCATCCTCGTTCAGGGTGGAGAAGATTGCTCTAAGGTATTGTCAGACTCTTGGTTCAGTTGTGGCTCTGAGGATTTTACAGAACTTTTGCTCCCTAGCCTCGCTGGCAGGGTTTGGGAATGGTCTGAGTGGAGCGGGGTTACTAGGTAGTATGAGCATGCCTGTTGGAGGGCCTGAGAACTAAAATCTTTGTTAAAAACGGGACACGTGTCTGCCTTTTAAAGCTGGCTTCTCCTATTTCAAGGCAGAAAGGTAAATTAGTAAGACCAAAGACCCTGAGTTGTTTTATTTTTGCATCCCCTCCCTCTGCCATTTCACTATTTTTTAAAAAAAATTTTTTAATGTTTTATTTATTTCTGAGAGAGAGGGAGACAGTGTGAACAGGGGAGGGTCAGAGAGAGAGGGAGACACAGAATCTGAAACAGGCTTCAGGTTCTGAGCTGGCTGTCAGCACAGAGCCTGACACAGGGCTCGAACCCATGAACGCCAAGAGCATGACCTGAGCCGAAGTCAGATGCTTAACCGACTGAGCCACCCAGGCGCCCCGCCATTTCACTATTAAAAGAAAATATGATTGAGGCATTTAAATATCTATTTTGATGACTTACAAATAATCTTAGAAATGAGGTGAAACAGAAAGCTATACACATAAAGTTGTCTTTGCTTCTTAGGAGAGAAGAAAGACCCTGATAAGATAAAAATTATTGGAGTCTCTGATGTTTGATGCATTATTTTAATTTATCTGGCAAGAGGTGGTTGGTACATAAGCCTCACTATTTTCATCTGATGCTCTTTGGAGATGCTGAGCATGGGATTTAGACATAGAGGGCTTAGAAAAGGCTTTCACAGAAGTCTCTCTCACCTTTACTCATGAACTGGTATCCAGCTTGTGAAGGGAAAAAGTGAGGAATTCTTTTGTATGCTAAGTAATTTTTAGTTTCCCTAATTGTTCTTAAAGTGCATTTAGAGCTGAGGTAACTGTCCAGGGAGTCAGGAGAAGGCAGTGCCCCTAGGAGGCCGGGGATCTGAGATGTGAGAGCTCTTGCTGTGGTGCTCCAAGCTCATGAGGGAAGGATGGAGGCAAATGTGAACTTTCCTCTCTGTGCCAGGTTTAGGTACATTTGGGCTTGCCCATCATAGGCTACTGAGAATTCTGCTCATAGGCCCCTCTGGCTAGTTCAGTGCTTAGGCACTCTAGCTGGACTGAACCCAGGGTGGAGAGAGCATAGGGGAAGATCAGGAAAAGGGGGTCATTATTATTCACTTATTTATTCTCAGATGTGTTGAATCAGTCCATTTGTGTTTGTCATTTGTAACTCCACAATTCATCATCAGCTTGATTTTGTCCCTTCTCAGGCTTTTCCACTGAAATCTGGAACATAAGAAAGTTGTCAGTCTCTAACCATGAGGTCTTTATTGTGTTACATACATTTCTCTGTGAAATACCGTAACTTTACATTTGGAATTATAACGTAAAGGAATGATGTACTTTAGATTTGCACAGTACTTGATTGTGTAAACTATTCTGTCACCCACAGGACCTGTGTGATTCTGTGAAACAGGTTGAGTTTTAAAAGGTATTACATTTTACAGATAAGAAAATGAGGCGGCAAGGATTCAGTGTCTTGAGCAAGGTTACATGGCTAGTAAGTGGCAGGCCTGAGATTCAAACCCAAGTTTCTGCTGGAGACCCTCTTCTTATGGAGACTAGTTCAGCAGGACAGGCGGATGAAGAGGCCAGTCACCCTGGTGAAGTCTTTAGCCCTCTGCAGATTTTTAGATTAATATGCTTGTTATTCTTATTATTCATGGTAGTTATGGGTTTTGTAAAGTTGGCCTGAACACTGAGTCAGCAAATACCAAACCATTGCTTCTAGAGGAAATAAGAAAATGAAAAGCACAGTTCCGTGAAAGCACAGTTCTGTTTGGTCACCTGTAAAAAGTAAACTAGAAAGCTGTTTTACAGTTTTGTTTTGTTTTTTTTGAGAAAGAGTGTACACATGCGAAAGACAGCACGAGCAGAGGAGGGGCAGAGAGAGGGAGAGAGAGAAGCTTAAGCAGGCTCCATGCTGGGCATGGAGCCGAGTGCAGGGCTCCATCTCATGGCCCTGGGGCCATGACCTGAGCCAAAATTGAGAATCAGATACTTAACCAACTGAGCCACCCAGGCACCCCAGAAAGTTTTTTTTTAATCTCAAAAATAGAAGATTTCTTTGTTTCATTGAAGGATATCCTATGGTTCATCCAGCTTAGTATCTCTGACACTAAAGCATAAGAACCCAAAAGAGTAGGAAGAATTACACTATTGTGTCTTTTACTCCTTCCCATTTAGGGAGGCAGGGCAATCTGCCAGGTAATGGGAAGACTCTTCCTTCATATCCTCTATCAGGCATCAACTTCAGCCTCTCAGTCATTCACTCTTTTCCTTCTTACAGTCATTCGTTTTTTATTGTGTTTTATTTGTTTTTGAGCATCTGCTGTGTTTCACGTCCTGTGGAAAGCCCTGGAGGTACAAAGGTGAGTAAGTAACATGTTCAAAGAATAGTACAGCAAACAAGCAAGTAGACAAGAGTTGCAAGATAGTGTAGTTTATTCAGCTGTGGAGGCATGAAGCTCTCCACAGGAGAGGCATCTCACCCAGCATTAAGGCTTCCTGGAGAAGGAGGCGGGATATACCAGACGAACGGGCAGTTACGTGAGGATGGAGGGAGGGCCCTCACAGGTGGTGGTAACAGCCTGTACAGAGCATGGACGGAGGAGAGTACTGGGTGGTAGTGGATCTGAAAGTACAGCCAGTTAGAGAAGACAGTGGGGCTCTGGGGCCTGGTAAGCCATGCTACAGGTTTTATCACAGCAATGGTGAGTGTCTCAATAATTTTAAATACACAAATGCTTGATCCAAATTGCATTTTACAAAGAGCACTTTGATTACATAATGGATACTTAGAGCAAGGACCTGCTTTTTTCCCTCCCCCTGAAGGGTAGCCTCCCCTTAGAATATTTGGGAAGAGGAGAAACAGATTATGGCATTAGCACTTTGAACTCTCCACCGGACAGCTCTTTCTCCCTCTGAATTGAGAGCTTCTCCCATCCCTCTCTCTTCTCTCACACTAGGCTCGCAATTGGACGTGCCCACAGAATTCTGCAGTATCAGTGTGATTGACAAGGGTCTCGATGTTGTTCACTTCACAGCACTAGCACTGGTTTTTATTCCCTGCCGTGGTGTTCAGTGGAGGTCTTCTTTTTGACGATAAATCCTGTGCCTTGACCCTTTTACTATAGCATCTCCTTATGATGATGATAAATAATAATCATTACTGTGATTTATTGATAACTTTGTGCCCATTATACTGTCTCTAATCGCATAGCAGCCCTGCAGGGGAAATACTGTTCTCCCCATTTTTATTATTTTTAACCTAAATCAAAATCCGCTGCTTCTTCTCATGTCCACAGATTCCT